GAAGGCAGATTCATTCCAGATTCTGGGGTTGGAATAAAAAGAAGCCCTGGATACATTATCAGACATGAAGTTGGTACGAAACTGGACCAAGAATAGGTGACACGACAACATCACCTCACTTCAATAGTTACCCTTTACACTATGATTTCAAATCACGATTCGAAAACGTAATTTCGTACGCAAAATAACAGTTTCACGACTGTTCGAGTTACCTTCTACACTCGCAATAGCATCTAATAGCGCCCGCGACGGCTACAATCACGATAAATCCGAAATGAACGAAAACACGATCGCGACCGCGATTTAAGACCCTGTTTACACTGTTCTTTGCATGCACGTACTATAAGGCGTGACTGGTATAAGGAACCCCATATCTGCTTTTTCTTCCTTTTGAGAGAGGTTGGAGCCGTAAAAACGATAAAGTTGAAGGTGGCTTGTCTAGATTTTAAGTTTTGATGAGATGGTTGCTTTTTTTTTTTCACGTTTAAAGTTGCATATGGGTTTATGCTTAGTCAGTTAGTCTGGTTCTTGAGTTCCACTAGTCCAACAAATCCACCCAGCTCATGACTTGACCAAAACTGAGACCAACTGCTTGTTGATGAAGCAGCCAACATTGAAGAACAAGTTGTTTTTAGCGTCTCATGTATCCGAACCAGAAATCTGTTGCATTACAATCTCAATTGTTAACCTGCAGACTGTTTCAGGGATATTTTCTTTAATGTATAGTATCCATCTGCTAATGCATTGTCAGTTGGAATGATAAAAGAAGAGTATGGGACCAAACGGCAGGCAGCAAGTTGTTGAGATTAAAAAGCTAGAGCCCGAGTAAATTAAGGGGGGGGGGGAAAGGTAAGCGTGTGAAAATCACGTGCATGAGAAATCGAAATGGAGCTCGTGTAGGGGCCCCTTTTAGAAAAGCTGAAGTAGACAAGTGTTGTGAGTCTTGAACCCTACAAAAACCGACCACTTCTTATTTCCTTAATTTCTCTCTGTCTTCTCTACCTGATCTTGTTTGACTGTTTCAATTCAGTAATGGCCGATTCGGCAATGGAAGCTTTTATTTCACTTTTTCTGACAAGTTATATTCAGCAATGGTCACAAATTCAATATTTATTTCTATTTCTTACAGATATAGATATTATAACTTGAATTCTATAAAAGAAAATAATATTATTTTATTATTAAATCTGTTTAATAAATTCAAATTTTTGATATTTATATGTTAAATAAATTTATCATATAATTTATTTTTTTGGGTTAATAGGAAAGCCCGAAGGTCGTTTCCATCTCTCCTTTCTACCAGCAACAAATCAATCATTGACATTACACTTTTTAGTTTCATTAGTGTATTATCATATTTTTGTTGAATTTAATTTCATCTTTAAACCATTTCTATAATAAAAAAATCTTATTTTTAAAACACTTTTCACTACATCGAACCTTAATTGATAAGGAGCTAGACCCAATACCCTTAACCACCAAATTAACCCTTTCTAAAACTATCTAATGTATGATTAAATTAATCAACTATTGTTCTTTGAGGAAAACGCCAAATTTGGTTAACTATTTTTATATAATTTAAATTATTAAATTAAAATTTTAGAGATAATATTATTAGAAGAGATAATATAAGTTTTAAATGCAAATAGTAAAATAGATTAAAAAAATTAAATAATAATAATAATAATATACCAGTCTAATTATGTAAATAAGTGATGAATTCCAATGTTAAATTGGTATATAATGGTCCCAGAAATGTTGGGCACGTAAGAGTTCCCACGTACGTACATCTCTACCATACAATTTTGGCAATTTTTCACGTAACGATGATTCATAGCTGATGCTGTATTTCCACAAGAATTTTATAAATAGAAAGAATGTAATTTTCCTATTTCTTTCTCAGCTGTAATTCAAATATCATTTTTATTTTTGTATTGGTCGATGAATTTATATATTTTAAAACTATACATATACCAAAACATATAAGTTTAAACTCTCATATTGTAATAGATAAAAAGTTGTATTATTAAAAAATAAAATAATAATGACGAGCAAACAAACGAGTTAATAAGATACAAATATATAAATTTACGTGAAAAAATTATAAACAAAAAAATTTACAGATAAAAAAACTAATTTAAAACTCTAAGACAAACTTAAATTAATTTATAGAAGAAAAAATTTCTCATGTCATCTATAAAAATACTAGGCACATATTTATAGTACAAACCTGAAAAAACTTGTACCATATCGTAAGGCTATGCTCTCCACCTCATTGAGATCAGTCGTGGATACAGATACTTTTAAATTTATTTTCATAATTTTATTTTTTTTATAAAATGAATGACACTGTAAAATATTTTAAATTGAATCAAACAAAATTTAAATAATATTTTTTAAGAAATATTTAGATGAACAACGCTCTTTTGATGATGAGTACAAATATACAAGTAGAATTGATTTTCGTTATTTGTTTTGTGTCCACTATCCTGTTGGATTCCATAGGAACTCTTCCACCGTCTTCCAAGGGGGAGGAGGTCAGTGTTTTTACTGTTTTTGGTGGCCTTTGGCATGATGATTCCATTAGCCGTTTCAGCTATGAACATGTTTCATATTATTGTCGGCAAACCCATATTAGTATTAGCAAGATCATTGTGGGTCTTAACAGATCATCCAAAAAAGGAGTGCCGTCTATTCTGATAACAAACATGATGGGTGGAACTCTGATTTATTCATTATTGCTAATCACGCCTCTCATTATAAAGTGTAAATACTAATTACAAGGGGGGATTGGATTAGTGTGTTTTGCTTTATGATGGGTATAAACAGGTAAGCGTGGAAGAACTTTCATGTTCCCCTTTTTGCCTTTGATGGCTTTGGAGGAGATAAAATATTACTCTTCCCTTTTCTGCTTTGTTTGCACCAAAGCAAAAGCATGGGATTGGAAGTTGTCATTTTCAGTCTGACATGGGCTCAACTATTGTAACAGAAAGGTAAAACCTGATGGGATCAATTAGGCAAATTTAATTTGGAGTTCTAGCTGAATCGAATATTCTCAGGTATATGTGTGACTAATATTTTAGACCAAAATGGAGAATTCGGATAATACAAGCCAGTTGCTCTGCAAAAGCTTTACTACATATGAGGAGCAATTGTAATGACCAATGCCTCTTTCCATCAACAAGATGAAAGTAGACCACCATTGGTTCTTTCACAAACAAGATAAGGATAAATGCTCTGCACATCTCTTCTATCCATACGAAGTTGGCAGCTGGTAATTGTTAGGTATATTAAACCCAAAAGAAAATGAAAAACAAAAGCAAAAGCAATGTTTCATTTTCTAGTAAATATTAGTTGCTTGTGATCTTTCCTGTTAGGCTAATTAAGAAGAAAATAGTCAAAATACTAAAACTTTAAAAGCAACAGAAACTGCTGTTAAGAGTCATTTACCCACTGGGGTGGCTTCCAATTAAGGCTGGGGTCATGAAGCTTTAATTTGGTTTGGTGGTCCAAGCTGTTAGATAATACTATGATCAAGGCCTGAAATGGAAAACCTTGCTAATTAAGTTTCTTTGAAGATGTTCTTATTTGCTACTATGTGGTTCTAGATTCTTCAAAGCAAAACCAGTAGCACAAAGAAAGTCAAAACCTTGATGTTATTAAGATTTTCTCATAAATGAAAAAAAAAACTAAATAAAATATTAATCAAATCACCATTGTCCGTAGCAGCTATTCCATAACCAATAATGATTAATGACATCAAATTTCTCCTCTTCATTCACTCCCTCCATTTGTTCATCTAGATTTTCAAAAATAAATTCAAATTCTACGAAATCAAAATCGAAGTCTCTAATCGTACTTCATCGATGCTTGTTGGATCGACATAAATTTGAGTTATATCATTATTTATAATAATATTTACTGTCAATTGACTGCTCGAATCACATAACAAACTAATATAAATGATATTCTCCGGAAACGAGGGAGATAAATCTATTTTCATCCTTTATCATTTCATCTCTTTCTCATTTGATTTGGATTTATTAATTTAATTGTTTGTTTATTAATTTTATATTTAATATGAACAATTTTTTTTGGTATGATATATATCATTAAAAATATGAATATATAATAATAGTATTATAGAATTTATTTAGGAATGATTTTAGAGTACACAATTATGGGTGAGGAAAAATACAAGTAAAAGAGAGATGAAAATAAAAATAATTTTGGATGGTGCAGTGTTGGCGACGCAGCCTAAATTGGAGGGTGGTGTAAGTTTCGTCTCATGTCATCTCCCTCCACCAACTCCCAAAGAAGAAGATTCTCCAATGCTCTTTTCTTTTTTTATTCGCATTTTTTCCCCCTGCCATCTACATTTCCTCTATAAATTCCCTTACCAATACTCTCAAAAATCCCCTTCCCCTTCTCATCTCTTCCCCCCTTTACAATTTAGGCTGTTTCTGCTCTCTTCTTCTTTGACCTTAGAACTACGTTCCTGCTGGTTCTTTTTCCCCTGTTTTCCTCTGTTCTTTTCATATCAACTTGGAAGGTGTTTGCCCTTCTATCGGTGGATTTTGGTTGTTAAACTCCGGATTCTAGAGTCCATACCAAAAACCCATAAAGTCAAACTCTGGTAACTCTTATGTTATAGCAAAAAAGGATTTTTTTTTCTTCTGATAGTTTCTGCCAAAAATAAGTTTTCTTTTTCCCCTCTGCTGTAAATCTTCATGCTGCATAAGTTGTTGTTGTTGCTTGAGACTCATGTCTCCAGTTGTCAGTGAAATCCTCCGATCCGGGTTTATGATAAATTCCTCCCTCAGACGTAGGACCCATCTCGTTCAATCTTTCTCAGTTGTATTCCTCTATTGGTTCTATGTTTTCTCATAAATAAGCTTTCTTTAATTGCTTGATTTCTACTATTTATATACATATATAACTATCTGTCTATATTAATTAGCTAGTATCGGTGTCCTGTCGCCTCTGAGGTGGTATTATTATCCTGAAATATTAGTCACCTTTATTGAAGTTCAGCCTTGTTTTTGGTGTAAATATATTAATATGGCTTCGTCCAGTGGAAACTCCAATTCCACAAGCTCTTCCCAGCTTCAGAACTCTGGCTCCGAAGAGGAGTTGCACCAGATGAACATGATGGATCAAAGAAAGAGAAAGAGAAAGGAGTCAAACAGGGAATCAGCCAGAAGATCTCGGATGAGAAAACAGCAGCACTTGGATGATTTAACGGCCCAAGTGACTCAGCTAAGCAAAGACAATAACCAAATTCTCACAAGCATCAACTTCACCACGCACCACTACTTGACCATTGAGGCCGAGAACTCGGTTCTGAGGGCTCAGATGATGGAACTGAGTCAAAGACTGGACTCTCTGAACCAAATCCTGAGTTATATCAACTCCCCCACCGCCACAAGCAGCAACGAGTTGGTGTATGAAACTGATCAGTGCTTTGAAGCAAGTGGTGACCACAGTTTCAACAATGCTTTCAATCTGCCTTATCTTAACCAAGCCATCATGGCCTCTCCAGGCATCTTTGGATATTACTGATCCATAATCATCACCATCATCTATCATTAATTACTTATAAATGGATGAAAAATATGGTCAAGATCCAGGGATATCTTTACATTGGTGGGTGCTGTTTCATGTTGAAAAAGAGGGGGTATTATTATTATTTGCCCCTTTCTTTTATTGCTATAATCATTAATATGTGTAAAATATTAGTGTTATTGACAACTAGGTTTAGGAAGATGACGTAAGAGATGAGTGTGAGAGAATTGGCAACTAGCTGGTGAAAGTTGCTTAGGGGATAAATCTCTGAGTTTTTCCCTTTTTTTATTTGTCTGTAAATGCTAAATGGGGATTTCAGTTGTAAAAATGTGGTGTGAAAGGTTCTTTAGGTGTATGTAATTTGATTTCCTAAGTTATATATTATGTTTCCTTCATTTGTTTGGGTCTTTTGTTTCCTTCCACGTCTGGTGTCAACCTTATAAATATATTATTTATTTATATTTTGATAATATTTTTAAAATTTAATTGGGTACACAATTAAACTATAAAATTTTACCTGAAAAATAAAGATATTTTAATGTACATTTAATACTCTTAATCTTGAATTTGCAATAGTCATCAGAAATATATTAAAAGTTAATTTTGAATTCGGCATTTTTAGTATAGGCTATTAATTATAGATAAATTTCTAATATTCATTAGATCGGTTAATCTGATTTCATGTATCAATTTATTTTATAATAAACGTTTTTAAAACAATATCATACTAAATAATTCATTCACAAAAAAAAGAGGGTTGTTATATATAATAATCATGCATGTTGTTAATTTTGAATTCGGCATTTTTAGTATAGGCTATAATATAGATAAATTTCTAATATTCAGTAGATCGGTTAATCTGATTTCATGTATCAATTTATTTTATAATAAACGTTTTAAAACATCATACTAAATAATTCATTCACAAAAAAAAGAGGGTTGTTATATATAATAATCATGCATGTTGTAATCTTTTAAAATAGATATTTCTATAAAATCCAACGACTTTATACCCGAAAATCAAGTCCGTGGGTACTAATCACCTGGTATATCTGCGATTACGATTCAATGCTGTTCATGGTCATGGCACATCTGTAGGTAGGGCCGGCCTTGAGCATAGGCTAGGGAAGCGACCGCCTAGGACCCTTTGGAGGAACCTCATGGCCTAGGGCCCTTAAAATGTCAGGACCGGGCCTGTCTGCAAGAGTGTTCACACTTTTCTGCCGCACTATCATGCATGGACGAGGTAAAATTAAATATTGACAGAGGTTAAAATATTAAATTATTTTTAAAAATATGTATTTTTAATTCGGAATTCAGCATAAACCAAGTGACTTTAGTGATTAAAGGATTGTTGCTATTCTTGAGGTCCCGAGTTCAAGCACGTATGTAGGGGTATGAGCGATCATTGTCAAATAGTTGAAAGTCTTTGTACAGATATTATTTTGTATTCACCCTAAATTTTAAAAAAAAACTCAAAACTCAAAATATAACTTCTAATTTTTCTAATATTTAAACTTATAATGACTTAAATTATAATTAAACCAAAAATTTGAGAATACTAACTTATCATTATTTAATTCGACCCTACTTAATTAAATATTTAATAATTTTTTATATTTTTTTAAATTTAAATATTTATTTTTGTATGAACTAAAATACTATTAAATAAAATAATATCAAATATATAAATTTTAAGAGGGATTGGAGGTCTTTTTACCCTAAGGAGCTCCGTCCCTTCTATCATGGTACACTGCTTACGTGATGTAATCGTATATGTTCAAAAACAAATTATGACTTGATGATTATTGAGGTCGAAATAATGTGGTTTTTGATTTTTTATGCATCTAATATAGCTCTTAAATCTAAAAAATAATCAATTATACCCTTTAATCAACCTAAATTATTGTTGATCCTTTAAATTCAACCCTTTGATCATGTAGTATTTAGACGATTTTAATTTTATTTCTATCAAATGCATATTAATTTGTTCAATCTCTTGGTTTCTTCTATTAAAGAAACACTATAAAAGGAAAAAAATGATTGAAGTAGTGTGTTATATATACATACACATAACATAATAATCTTTCTTTTTTTTTAAAAAAAATAATTATCCTCAAAGTGGAGTGTTAACATATATCACTATTGAAGCCTAAATCAATAGGATATATAAATAAAATAGTTGTACTATATTGTCTTTTTTAAGGCATAATTTATTCTTTTTAAAGTTCGACAATGATCTCATATCTCAATTCATTATTTTGTATTTACTTTATCTTTTGCAATATTATAATACACGATGTTATGTCTCATTTTAATAAGGTGAATTGTTCATATTCTTCACGATGTCATGTAAACTTATATTCTCTCTAATATCACATCAGTATTTATTCTTCTTAGTAATATTATCTTGAGTCTAAATGTAGTTCTCTATGATATCACGTTAAGAATGGATTTTTTGATGTGACATCATTCAGAATTAAGATTTTTTTCTGATGTTGCGTCTACATGTATACTCCATTATGACATTATCCTATGTTTGAATTGTGATTATCCATGATGTCTCATTGAGATATATTTTCTATGATCATAGTATTGTAGGTGCTTTTTCAGGTGTTCTCCTCTATCCACAAAGATAATAACATATAAGATGCTAACCCCTTTTAAGGCATGTTTTTTACCACCCCTATCAACTTTTTCTTTCGTCAATTTGTGTTAATTAATTTCTCTCCCTTAACTCGTGTTGAATCTTTTCTACATGATTTATGTTGAGTTGTTCCTCTTAATACCTACATTAACTTTTCTTCCGTTGATCCACGTTGAACTTCTTTTAAAATAATGAATATCAAATTGGTTTAAGGATTAAACAATATGACTCTCCGTCTTGACTTAATAAAGTGAAATGTCCACTAACGCTGTAACTTCATTCTTGCACTAAGATTTCTTCTTTCGGCACAACAAAATGATTAAAAAACGAAGCCAGCTTCCCTTGCATTTGTTCAGAGTCTACCTAGAAATATAAAACATCGTTGCCTTTTATTTTATGTTGCATGAAATGCTAATGGAGTTTACACCAATTAAACTGGAGGCACCCATAAGACAGCCTAGAAAATGGGTGTCCATTAATCCATACATTTGAAGGAATGGTGTCATTTTCAATTGCAAAAAGAATTCCAAATCAGAAGAGGAAGACAGGCCAGCAAAACATGATTACTTCAACAATTATCCATTTACATTCATCTATAACTCAACTTTTATTTATTTATGACCTCAGATTTATAAAGAAGAAGATTGAGATTTATAAGCCCAATCATCATCCTCCCTTTTCAAATGTCTTTGTCCATGCCAAGATATTAACTTGCTATCTTTAGCCCCTCCTGGTTTATTTTAATTCCCCCAGCAGTTTGCTTTCCCATATGATTTGCTTATAGACATTCAATCAACCATAAATGGACATCAATCCATATATTTTAAGACTTTTTTTCCTGTTCGTTTCCTTTTCCTTTTGATGGTGGGGCAAGTAACAATGAAAGGAACGGCCAGAAGATGATGTCAGACTAAAATGACATTCCCACCTACACATCTTAAACAAGTGCAAATAATTGAGTCCAAAGAACAGCAGGTCACAGTTTTAAACACGTAGGAACCATTAGATTGAAAGGAAAAAAAGGATAAACTACAAGTTTAGTACCCCAACTATCATTTTTGTTATGTTTCGTTGACCCAACTATTCTTTGTTTCAAAATCATACTTACTGTTATGTTTTAGTTTTATTTTGGTCATCCACAGTAAAAAAATTAACGGTGATGCTGACGTGTCACCATAAGGTAATGTCATATCATCATTAATTTTTTTAAAATGTCATTTCAATAATTATGTTAATTTTTTAACAGCATGTGACCAAAATGAAACCAAAACTTAACGTTAAGTATGATTTTGAAAAAAATAATAGTTGAGTGATCAAAGAAGAACAAAAGTGATAGTGGGTGAGCAAAACGGAACAAAAGTGATAGTTGAGGTACTAAACGTGTAGTTTATCCACTAAAAAAGATTGCCATAAATTATAGTAATATTAATCAGAAAGGATCACCATTATTGAAAAAGTTAATCAGGTTTGCACTAATGTTGTCCAAAACCTAAACAATGTTCACTTAATCATCATTAAACTAAAGAAAAGGAGGGGAATGAAGGCCCACTTGGAGAGGAGGGAAGCAGAAAGTAGGGACAAGGTGCTTGGATGGATATCCAACACCAGATAAAACTTGTACAAAGGTAGACCCAAGGCAATATTCAACTTAAAACATTCATATCTGCTTGAAAACTTTACCAAATCAAACAACACATGATGGAAGTATAGAAAAGTTTGAGCTATCAGTTGTCCCTTAATCATATGGAATTTGGATATACGGTGCATCACAATTTGATAAACAAAATAGAGTGTACCAGCAAGTGCACATCTTATGCACCCCAAAACAGTAAAGGAAACTGATAGCAAGTAAGGTTCTCTAGAAATGATGTTATTTTCTTTATTTCTAGATAGCAAGTAAGGTTGCTCTTTGCAGGTACATGCCGTTGTGGATGACTCTGATCTGAGGAATTTAGACCTTCAAGGCTTCAGCGGTTGACATATAAATTACTCAATGAAGCATTGAATTGATTAGGAGAAGTGACCACTAAGAACTTTACTGAACCTGGCCTTTTCAACTCTTCTCTGCTGTATTTTATGACAGTTCCGACTGTTAATGACGCAATAACTTGTGCTCGTGTCTGGGACTGGTATGTAGAGGAGAGGACTTAACGTCTTCCTAAGAGTCCTATCATTTCATCAATTTTCAGAACCAAGTGGTTCATATTGCCATACTGATTTCAGCATTTGACCAATAGTCCCCTGTAATTCGGATTTAAATCTCAGGTGAGGTAAGGAAGCTGCACTGCTAGTTCAGTTTCTTCTTCACATGTGCACTAGAAACTCGTTTCTGGCCTACTGAAGTTGCCTTGTGAATTAACAATTTAATCGATCTTTTTTCCAGAGTATATCTTTTTTTTTTGTCTATTTCTTCACTCCAAGTACCAAATTTATTACTCTATTTAATTAGTATCCGAAAACGAATATGATGTGCACTAAATAATTTGGCGAGATGGTGGTTAATTCTTCATTGCATTAAAAATTGGCGGAAAGTGCGTACAAAAGAAAAAAAAAGTATATATAGTTTACTTTTGATAAATAATTAAAAGCAAATTAACCATATCAACTAACTAACTATATAAGGGTATGATAAATGGTTGCTTTTGAAATTCGATTTTGTTTATTTTGGTTTATTTACGTATAATTATCTTAAAAAATATATTTTTTATTAATTTGAAGTGATTATAAGGTAATATTTATTCAAAAGGTAGATTCTTGTAGACATCATGCTTAAATCCGGGACCAGATAACATCTCTCTAACGGAATCGCTTGATTCGTGTATCTTAAAAATAGTTACACGATGAACTAAGCTATTAATTATTCGTTTTAGACGTTTGAGTTTAATTTAATAAAAAACAAGCATTCCTTTCAGGCTTTTGCCGTCTTCACAAGGACCAAATGGTGGGTATCTTACCAACATAACTGTATACACTTTATTACTACTAGTCTAGACCATTCACTTGCTTACCCACGTAAAGTATTTACATATATATTTCCCTTTTTATTTTAAAAATTAAGGTATATTACAAGATGGAACTATGCCATTGGATTATCCCCGAAAAAGGAAAGTAATTCGATAGCTTTTGAAAATCCATATGCCATGACCTCATGCTCACCTGAAAGCAGTGGTGGGTCTATCCTTATTGAAATTCAAATTTATTTTGATTAATTATTTATTTTATTGATTGTATCTATCCTGAAATTTTATTTGTGTCCGTTCTATACTAAAATTTTGTGTTATTAATAGATGTATGTTCACCTTAAAAATATTTATGGATCCGCGAGTGAAAGTGAAGGTGCGACAGGTAGCTTTCACGAAATCAGTTATCTTACTGCATGTATATACCGTTTATGGCATTAAATTAAAATGGAGAAAAAGATTAGCCATTGTGCGTGGTCATGTATTTCTTCCTTTTGCATCTCCTTGGTGGGGCCGTTAGGTTCTTTATTTACTCCCTCTCCCAAAAGCTTTTCTTATTCAGATGTTGTTGGGTTAGCTTTGAGTTTGGAAGGGACTCGTAGGGGAGGAATACGATAATGTGAACCTGATTGTGTTGGGAGTAATCACATGGGCCGCAGTTTTTGTATTTATCAGAAGAATCTTCTCCAAACGCTCCCTTGGATTCTGCACCCGCATTGTTTCTACAATCCATGCAATCTCCGGCGTAATTTTAGCATCGCTCTGTGTTGAAGATTGGAGCTGCCCACTTTGTCCTTTGGCTACCACCCCTTCTCCTAGGCAGGTATGTGCCAAGCAAAGCAGCTTCTTCATTTCTTTATTTTTTTCATATCCGAGTTTGGTGCAGAGACAAGCTTAGGCTGCTTCGCTAGGTTATTTTATATATGACCTGATGATAAGCTGCCTCTTTGGCGATGGATCCAGTTTTGACAACATATTTCATCAATTAATCTGCATCGTTGGTATTGCGGCTGGCTTTGCAGAGTTAAACTTTGAATATAATTGGTGTGAAACAAACTTTTGGGTGGATTTTATTCGGCTTAGTTTTAAATGACAACATCAGATATTATTATGCAGAGTGTATCAGTGCAAGTTGCTGCGATATTCATATTGGAGAGCTCAACTCCTTTCCTCCACGCCAGGGAACTGCTTAGAGAAGTGGGTTACAGGGATACCTACCTCAATTTGGCAGCAGATGTTAGTCCCAAACTCTTACTCATTGTTTTCATTTATTTTTCATCTAATACGTGACTGATGTCGCCAATTTGCTAGTCATTAGTATAAGTAAGTGATGTTGAAGGTGGATTGGTTTATGAACAGATGACATTCGCATTAATATTCTCGGTAGCAAGGATGGTGGCCGGACTCTATCTCCTTTTCGTCATTCTATCAGCTAATAATCCTATACTGATCAAGGTCTATTGCTTGCGTCTGTAATTACCCTCTTCTTCCTAATTCAATCATAAATAAATAAACATGAAGTTAATTATCTGTGTTATTCAGGCAATGGCCGTAGGGCTTCAGTTAGTCGGTGCTTTCTGGTTCTACAAGATTGTGAAGATGGTGAAATACAAGCTTACCAAAACAAGGGAGAAGGTGGGCCTGGCTTCTACATCTCGCCGAACAGCAAAATTGGATTAAGCCACTATATTTATAAAAACCTAGTTAAAGCAGAAAAGAAGTGCTTCCGTTTATGTCATTGTTTGTGGTCATCTAATAAAGTTTCTTCCTTTTTCCATCTCCTTGAGGTTTCTTTATTTACTCTCATTCCCAAAAGCTTTTTTACTTTGCTTTATTATTAAGCTTTTATTGTAATAGCCTGAAGTTTTTTTAGTATTGATAATAAACCTTCATATTCCAACCCAAACGTTAATAATAAAGATACAATTAATGAAAAATACTCAACAATAAATAATGAAATTCAACCAATAATTCGACATTATTTAATAGAAAAAGCACATATTACTGAAAATACTTTTCAAAAACATGCTTTTGTCTCCAGCAGAATTTATAAATGAGTCGTATTTCTGAAAATAAACTTTTAAAAGATGATATCAATTTCGCAACAACATTCCGAAATTAAAGAAATGTTAAATACACAAGGCGAACATTTAAGCTGAGCAAATATTAGCGGACAGCGAAAATATAATGCACTGCCCCGTACTCCATGGCTTCAAAAACAGAATCACTATTCTTTCCCAAAATCAGTGCTGTAATGTGCACTCGATTCCAGTTTCTTGGCCTCATTCAATTTTCTTACCGCCTGCAATTTAATCACATAGAAGCAACCCCACATCATTAGCAATTAATCCTCTCTTTTTTTTTTGAAATTATCCATTCCAGATAGTTCTGGTGCACATAAGCCAAAATGAAATGACAATATTCAAATTTCATGGTTAAATATACCTTCATGAAATCTTCATGGATGACATAATCACGTTCTGCACGAATTGCTGACATTCCAGCTTCTGTGCAAACATTTCGTAGATCAGCACCATTAAAACCCTACATCAATGTCCATGGTTACAACAATCATATTAGTGATTATGGTTACAGCCATGAAAAAGAAACAAGCCACACTTTTGAGTTTTGACTAACCTCAGCAAGTTTGACAACAGCCTCATAGTCAATCTCACCATGCTTGGCAATGCCAGCGGCATGAATCTTGAGGATTTCCATTCTTGATTGCTCATTTGGTAATGGAATCTCTATCTTTCGGTCTAGCCGTCCAGGGCGAAGAAGTGCAGGATCTAGAACATCAGGTCTGTTTGTAGCCATGATCATTTTAACCTACATGAAACAATTTTAAATTGATAATAATTTCGGGTTCGAGAGCATAAAAACAAACCTGAGTACGAGGCAGCAATGAATGATGCAATAAGAGAAATTTGAGTTCCAGTTCATAAATGCATTAATGTTTTTTTAGAAAAAGGAAACATATAATTAATTCCCCCAGGCACACACTTGATGATATCAAGTGGTAGGCCTGTTTTCCAAGGATCATAAAGAGATTTTATTATTCTGCAGTAGGTAAAATGGAATATAAACCACACAGGATAAAACAATGACCAAAGGCACTTGGAAGTTTTACAAAAACAAGCTAACAGGATACGCCACTCTTTATTCACTTGGTGAGCTAACCATACAAAATATGAAGATTATAAACTATGGCATGCAGAATTTCTGCTTTAGATTACAAATTTACAATCTCGAACTATGTTTATGACCAAATTGTGTACCTTCCCGAGTGAATCAAACCCGTCAAGCTGGTTAAGTAACTCCATCAGTGTTCTCTGTATTTCACGGTCAGCACTTGTACCCTCACTAAAACGGCGCCCACCAATGGCATCAATCTCATCCATAAAAATGATGCAAGGCTGAAAAAAGAAACAAACAAACAAACATAAGAATGGCATTAACAGATACAAAGAAGCATAAAAGCAAACATTCATAACTCCAGGCTCTCACTTGGTGATCACGAGCATATCCAAACATTTCTCGTATCAGCCTTGCACTTTCTCCTATGTACTTGTCAATTATTGCACTTGAAACAACCTGAACTCAGATGAAAAAGGTAAAATATAATCATTCAAGGACACGATGAGAAAACCACCAAGGTAAGTCGCAGGTAAAAAAATACCGACCTTTAAGAAGTTGGCATCGATATTACTTGCTATTGCTCTGGCTAGCAATGTCTTGCCTGTACCAGGAGGTCCATAGAGGAGGACACCCTGCAAAGAAAACAAGAAAATTAAGATGACCCTCAACCATATATCACTTCACCACAGCATGTTTCACCTGTCAACACACACAAAAGCATACCCACTGAAATACAGGAATCAATGGAAACAGGAAGCAATAATCACCTTGGGAGGTTTAATCCCAACTCTAAGGAAAAGTTCAGGATTCATGAGAGGGAGCTCAATAGATTCCCTCAGCTCTCGAATTTGATCAGATAAACCACCAACAGCCGAGTAGCTGACATTACCAGGGTCTTCGTGCAACATATTGTAAACAACCGGATCAACCTGTGAGCCAAAGATGTAACATAATTTCAGATATCTGCAAAGAAAACTTGCTTTTATATCATAAATACAATTGACTAATCAGGATGCCAATACGTACCTCGCGTGGAAGGGCCCGCATTATTGTAAGAGTTGTCATATCAAGAACTACTCTAGTTCCAGAAGTTAGCTTCTCCTTGTCAACTTTGCTGCGGCAACCAACGACATAACGAGGGCCACTGCTTGCTTTAACAATCACTGGAATGTCATATAAACATCCAATTTTGTGGTTACAATCAATTCTTTTTTTTTTGATAGGAAGTTGCAATCAATTCTAAAGAAAAATGAAATGAAAAACAGCCTAAAATTCAAATGCAAAAGCTCAGATGTCAGACTGCAATTTTATAAATAAGAATAATTATATAAACTTTATACACTCCGAATACAAATATGGAAAATCCTTAGCTACTTGGACTAATGTATTGAAATCAGCAATAGAAGAGAGGGGGAATAAGTAGTTACAGCGTTCGTTATCAAGAGGCCTGAGAACTTCCCCAATGATCTGCCCGACACTCTGAAGAGACTTCAAATCATCTTCTGTTTTGTTAAACTCCTTCTTAGCAGCTCTCAGATTCTCCCTAGCTAAACATTCAAACAAGTCAAAAACCAAGTAGCCAAAGGCTACAAGCATTCTATTCTTTTGTTTACACCTTTAAGTAGCCAAAGGCTACAAGCATTCTTTTCTTTTGTTTCTTATGCCTCCTTTATTTTCACAGAAAGCCGAAATATCAATTTCATCAACAATATAAACAAAACCCAATCATCAGCCTAAGTCGAAGACACTGAAAAACATAGTTTCAGTTAAAAACCTAGTAGTTATTTATTACAGCTCAATCAAAGCATAAAGTGTGTCGCCAAATTGTACCTACTCAAGCTGTCACTACAAATGAATTGAACTTCCAAAGAAGCACTATTTGCAAATAAAAAAAAGGTGCTGATGTAACCATGCGAAGAAGAAAAAACCCAAATTCTAAATCGTAAAATGGGAAAATAAAAAATAATAACAATTCAAGCGCAAAAAAAAAAAAGAAAAAAAAAGCGGGGGCCCGATTAGAAGAGAAAAGTGACCCCAATTAGGGTTAGATGGTAAGGATTATAAAATGAGGCGGGAGGACACCTGCTCGAACCCTAGATTCATACTCTTTTTGTTGAAGGAGTTTCTTGCGGTACTCCGCGACAGCATTACGGCGTCCAACGGCGTCTTCTCCGTCGCTCATTGTCTCAATCTCTGGTCGGAGTTCGAAGAGATTTGATTTTGACGAAAACTTTGTGTTTGGGCTTTCCAAGGTTTCTTTAGTAAGGGGTTGTGCGAGCTGGCTGCTGTTTGTAATCTCTACGGGTGTATATATGTGTATTTTAAACCATCAGAAAATTCACTCTTAAATACGACTAGAATATTTAACACCGACAACTTATAAAAAATAATATATATATAAGGTAAGATATTCAAATGATCCCCTATTATAAAATATTTTTTTATTAAATCTTTTAACTATTAAACGTTATAAAATAATCTCTTAACTATAGGAAATTGCTTTCTTGAGTTTTTGAACTATTAAAAGTTATAATCATCTGAGTATTCATTATGTTTCAAACTCATCATTTTCTTATTACATAATTAACAATTATTTAAGCTAGACGTTAACATGTTGAATGAGACATAATAGTCGTTTGAGATTATGAGATCAAATTTTATCATATCTCATTCAGTAGATTAACTTCCAACTCAGACCCTCATCAATTTTTTTAACGGAAAAGAACTAGTTTGGAACATAATGAATAGTCGGATATCATTTTGTAACTTTTAATAGTCGAAGGACTCTAAAAACAACTTCTTATAGTCAGAAAATAATTTTATAACTTTTAATAGTCGAATGACTCAACCAATTTATGTATTTTACCCAAAAATATATGTAATCAACATTAACAATAAAGATCATAACCAAAAGATCTTACACCTTCCAAATCAACAATTCAAATCCTAACTCAAAGATCTTACATCCTCTAAATTAACAATTCATATACTTTGGAATTTCTTTTAATATGATAGTTTAAAGCAATTAATTTAAAATATTGTGTGTGTATATATATTACTAGGTTTTTTCTAATGTAATTTTTTAATATTATAATTTTAAAAATTATAAAATAAATATTAAATTTATTATAAAATATACACTGCACCATTAAGCATCTTTATCTATTATTAAGAGAATGTTATCGTACATTAAAATTAATTATTAATATCCCATTTGATCCATCTGTAACTAAATATATTTTGATATATTTTTAATATTTTTAATAAAATTAAAAAAATGCTACATATTAAGCATTGATTAGATTACATAATTTTTTGTAACAATTATTAACGATCAAACATCTTAAATAGTAACTTTAAAAACGTTAAGCATCTACATTGATATAAAAAAACTTTTAACATCTTAAATAGTATGATTTTGAAAAGAAAAATAATTGGTGACTAAAATAAATAGATTATATTTTTGTTCAATTCAATTGTCTCCCTATCCCGCTTCCAAATCATAGCATCCGAGCCATAGTGCATGTCGAAAAATAAACAATCCATATCTTCAGCTTCGTGTTGTCATAAGGGGGACCGTGTTAACCCTGAGACCTCTTCATTCAACTCAGTTTGCACTACAAAACATGAACTCAAAAACTTTCATGAAAAGAGCAGAAGCTTACAGGGAAGCTTTAACTTTTAACAATATCTTGCAGGGAATCATACCTCTAGTGGAGTTGGCATGAGAGACTACTGCGAGCACTTATATGCTTCTCGAGTTGAAAATTGTCCATTAAAGTTGAATTCCCATAACTTATCCCGACCCCCCATGACGGATGTCTGCGACGTTACAACTCGACTCGAGTAAAGAGAAGTGTGATGGAAGGAATCATAAACTCGCAATATATAACAGTATATTTGGAATTTTGAATCGAGCCAATTTAAGTCACAAGTATTTTTTTTTCTTGATTACAACCCTCATTGTAGAAAAGAATAAATTTAAACGTAAAAAGAATGAAAAATGGCACCATAACTTGAATATCTATTGTACTTGAAAATGGTACCAATTTAGGAGTCACAAAAAAAGCAGAATGTTGAAAGACACGACTGGACGATGAAGGCACTGAACTGCGGCAAAGTTTTTAAGAATCAGAGTAGCGTTTTGCCTTTTGCAGTACTTCCTTCAGAACCTTAGCGATTCTTTCAGACATGTGATGCTCTAAAAACCTTTCTTTCACCCTTTCATATCCTTTCTTCCCCATTGTCAGCCTCTTCTCTACATTTGTTGCTAGTTTCACAATGTTATTTGCGAGGGGCATCACACCTTCTTTGCCAGCAGGATGCAACAAGCCTGTTGTCCCGTTTACCACTATCTCTGTGGTGCCACCGGCTGCAGTGCCCTGAATAATATAGTAACCAATGAAAGAAAATAAATGTGATTACATTGCTTTGCTAAAATGAAAAAGAACGAGAAGTATTAGATTGTGAAAAACATAAATCCTATTAAATACCACAGGGCATACCAGGACAGGAAGCTGAAAGGCCATAGCTTCTATTGTTATCCTTCCGAAACACTCTCCCCGGGCCTAAATGTGACAACAACTTGTAAGCTTAGGCAGCAAAGCAAAACCAAGGCATAATATTTTAATGATTTCAGGCAATGGGAACACAATTGAAAGCTATATAGTACAAAATATGAGTCAATGGTACCATAATCCATAATCAGCAGTGTTTGCAACACAAATAAACAACATAGTTATTCAGATAATACCTGAGAATTTTGAACAAGAACATCAATAGAAGCCAGATAGGGAGCTACAGTCAGGGTTTTATTAACAAAGTGCAATCGACCCTGAATATTATTCTCCGATACAAAGTTACGTAGTTCCGTTTCAAACTTTGTCTGAGCATTCATGTCACTTCCCACTATGACTGCATGAATTGCTGGCACCTGTAGTTTTTTCTCTAGGATCAACTTCAAACTTTCATGAAATGAACGAAGAAAAAGGTCCTGGCCCTTCCCTCGGGAAACACCTGTTGGTGCTCAGAAGATGTTCAATTAGTAAAGCAGGCTAGAATCATAACGGATGAACATAGCATCTTTCAAACACAAAAGTATTTACAAGGACATGAACAGAAGGCAACAAGAGATGTGGTACTAAGGAAAATGGAGGAAGAAATTGGCAACTGATCGAAGCTCTAACATATAAACCGCAATTCATTGAAAATGAAGAAACAATGGACTCATGGAAACAAAGTTGCTAGAAACTCTATGCAAGGGGGAAGAGCATTAGATATTAATATCATCCACGCAATTAATTCTCAGAAAGGCAACAATTACTACTTTGAAGTTTGAACCACAATCAACTAGAATTTCAACTTCGATTCAGATCAGAAACATTCATCCACGTAATCACTATTTTCAACTTTAGACCACAAAATCAAACTAGGATGCAGGTTTGTGTTCGATTCATAATGCATAAAAAGAGTACATACTATTTATAAGAGCAAAGACTAGATCTTCACTTCGCACTCCAAGAGATTCACGAACATGCTCACGGAGAATCCTCTTGGCAACTTTATTTTCAGCCACTTCCATTAGTTCCTTGCTATTTCCCAAGTGAACAACATATGTTTCAGGCATTTTAATGCTGTAAAATAAATTGTAAAATTAGAACAAACAACCAAAAACAACTAAAAATAAATTGAAACATAGATTTAAGTTATAGGTGTATGTAAATCCTACAATCCACATATCCCACAAGCATTGTAACTGTAGCATTAAAAATTATTACCCTAATCGTTCCTTTGTCCGGTTTTTCCAGTAAATTGTTGTGATATGTGAATCAATCATGGCACCTCCAACAAAAGGGAGGTGCTTAACATATTCTAGTTTGAAGTAATGTCCTCGCATTTCATGAATCCACCAGAGAACCTTTGGAAGAACATCAGCAACATGTTCTTTAAGAACAGCATCCAGCCACTTTCCAGCAACTGCAGTGTTCAAAACTACCAAATCAGCCTTAAGAGCAGTGTCCACGGCTTCCTGACCTCTGGCAGAGAAAACCTGACAAGTGTAGGAAAACCCAAAAGTTTAGCACAATATTTGTGTTGGAGAAGGAACAAAACTAAGAAATAAAAAAAATAAAGAATTACCTGAACTCCTCGATCCAGCATCTTGTGTTCTAAACTATAAACGATGTCATCAGATTCGGTTGGTTTCTGGTTAGTTACCCAAACAACGTCGGCGCCAACTCCTCTTAGCAGAAATGCCAGCTCCATTAACAATAAAGGCCCGCCGGAAAGGGAAAGTTCGTGAGAGACTAAGAGAACGAGTTTTGACTTCATGAAATCGAGAGGATTTGGAGTCGGTGCTTCATCATTGCGGTTAACTTCATTGTAGGTGTCCACTTCTTCTTCTTGTCCTTCCCGGACGAAATGACTGACATTGTTACTAGAACTGTTGCTGCAAGAATCGAAGGTGGATCTGATGAGGAAGGCTATCAGCGTTGATAGAGAAAGGAGTAATAGAATCATCAGTGGCCATCTCTTTTTCTGCTGGCTTGTAATCCAAACGCTCGATTGCCTTCCCATTCTTCCAAATACTGCTAGCTTCACTAATTTGCTACTGCTTTGATCTATAAATAAACACCAGTAGGGACTTACGAGAACAGTTTTGAGAAATTACAATTATTACACTGTGTGATTCGAGGATACATGATTTGCTCATTCGCTTCACTGGATCTGGATGAAGAAGCGCGTCGACCAAAACCATGAGCCCAGCTCGGCCCTGCTGTCGTCGGACGTTAAGTTTTGCGGGCTTTCAGTTTAGGTTTTGCCATTTTATAACATCCAGCTTTATTGGGCTATTAGATTTATCTCTATCCGACTTCTACTGAGCTGGATATTTCTCCATAACATGTATGAATAATGTGGGCCTAACTATGAATTTTGTCCCTCTATTCTACGAAATTGAGAAATTACTCTCTTTAGTTTATAATAATTTAATTCTCATCCCCCATGAAACTAGTAAGCTAGTTCAATGGGTAACATTGTTAAATATTCTCATTCAATCGTTGACTTGAAAATCAGAATCTTGAAGATTTGTATATAAAAGAGTTAACAAAAACCAATTATTCAATAATTTATATTATCAACTAACGAAAATTAATAATTTAAATTTATATGTTTATTTAATATTGAATTAAGATGGAATGATCAAATTCAGAATTGAAATCAATAAAAGAAAACTCGAAACACGAATCTACTTAATTTATTGTAATAATAAAACCTTGATTCATTCTTCAAACATTAAAAAGGTTACATCCTCGACGACTTCTTCTAAATGTAATTAAAGGACTGGTACCCAAGCCACTCTTGCAATTAAGCAATATAATTAACTATTAGACACGACATCGACATACCGGATACCTGAACTAATGTCCTAATTAACTACGCGACAATTCTTCCTGACTTCCCCCTTAAAACCAGTTAGAGGACTAATGTTTCCCATCTTAATCATTGACTTTGCAAATTGTTTGAAGAAGAGATTCTCATCCTCTGCGTAAGCTTTAACCAATTTCATGGTATTCCCAACATTCCCTGTCAGAAGCACTTGATCCGAATTCAGCAGTCCTTTTCCCCACAAAATGAGCTTGAAGTAAAGGTTGTCGAATTTTACCGGGGACCCAAAATCCAATGGTGAAATGTTGTTGTCACCACCAGACTTCGGACACACAGATTTCAAGCCATTGTAATAGGAATTTTCTAATGTTAGGTCTGGCAAGTTGTTTCCGTTTTGATTGTATAGTCTCTGCTTGAAGGTTGCACACCTGGCTACACCGATGGTATGTCCTCCTGAAACATTATTATTACATGTTGAAAACGAGTAAAACATTGCGGTAAGAAGACGATTTTATGTTATGGTCTGAGAATGTGGACGAACGGTTGACCTGAGAGAGCAACGAGGTCGACTTCATCGAGACCTTGACGTTGGAACAATGTTATCAGGTTCTGAAGTGTGGAGTTTGGTGGTGGGATATTTTTGTTGGAGGAGCTGAGGCTTGCAGTCTTTGAATCCCTCCTTCCAAGGGGAAGCTCCCAAGATGGTCCACCGCTCTGTTTTGGCATCAATCGTGGTTACCTAAAATAGGAGTAAAAGAAAAAGAAGTAATGCTGAATTGGTTTGCACGGTTACCACTCACCAATACAGTGGAGCCACGAGCAGCCATTGCGAGTATGTCGGCGCAAGAAACAGTTTGGGGACATGCTTCTTCTAGTTTAGCTTTGATCTCATCGATCACCTGAAAACCTCTAATGGAGTTCCTGTTTGGTAGTGCATTCTTTTCACTGGCTATGGTCGCACTGTCGTCCAACAGTATGGATGCATCACAGCCCTGTAAGATATATAGAGGTGGAAATTTTACGATAGTTTTAGCAACTGAAAGATGGTTATTTTAAACATTATTTCTCAGCTCAAGCCAACTTCTGTGGGCAAAATTGTTTGCGTCTGAATTAAATGAATAGGAAGAATCAAGTGACCTGCGAGAAACAATCGTGGAAATGAAGCCTTAGCAAGGAGGCAGCCATCCTAGGCTCTTTTGCAATGGCCTTCTTTAGTATTGACATGACAATGTCGTCAGCTTGAGGGCATGAAAACTGATAGAACTGTGGGAAAAGGCCGAACGGGGGTGCACCAAATTGGCCGCCTGGCGAACCACCGATTCCCCAGCCAAAACCCAAACCAGGGTGAGCCAGGGATACTGTGGCTGACAGGAAAGCTGTTATTAAGATGCGAAGAGCAACTTTCAGAAAAGCCATTGGTAATTTGTGCAAGTCTTTGGATATGTGGTCATTGGATGGCAATGGAATTTATATTGGGCTGTAACGATTAAATCAACTGCTCCTCTCACCAAATCCTTCCTGAAAAACACCTAATACTGATAGCCAGGACTGCGTCCATTTGTCTTGACGCTTCTTTTTGTCACATGAAATGTAAGCAACTGCAAATGGAGTGGTGGCAGTGCTTCTGGTTTACCAGCTCTTCCTTCGTATTTTATATAGTAAGGATTAACTTCGCTAACTTAGCTACCCTTGCCTAAGCCTAATCTTATCAAACGCAACATTTAACGATAGAGTATATAGCATAGTTTTATAATAATTTTTAAAATATTTATATATTCATAGTGTGCTCATATTTTTCCCCATAATCATGGTTTGTATCGTTTATTGTCGACAGAGGTGGAAATGAGTCTAATAATTTGAACATTGTATAAAAATTCAAAATATTCAAGATGCCTTAATAAGTAGCCCTTAGAAGAAACAAGGGATTTAAAAGAGGAAAGATTTCGTCCGAGTTTGACCCTTTCACAAATCCGAGTGGTTAATCTGCTCCCAAGCTACTTAGCTTTCACATTCATCTACTTACGGTGGCAACTAAAGATGGCTTCCTTCGACTTGACTTTGGACTTGCTGTTTTTCGTCCTATTACAAAACAAAGTACGGAGTATGAACCCCCGTTTTATTCAATATTTGATGGTTATGTAGGTGCTTCGAGGTCTCGTAATCCGGCACCCTGAGTTCACACAGAATACTGACACCGTCTTCTGGGATAAAAACTAGAATTCCATTATTGCCGTCAAGGTCAGTTACATCTTTAAGAATAACAAAGCGGGTTTTCTATATACACTGGTATTCAGGCAGTGCTGCACTGAAAATCCACCTATCTTCAAATCACCTGAAAACTCATCGAATTTAACACGATCTATTCAAAGGTTACATTGGAGAGAGTTGAAGTTACGATTTACACAGTTGTCTCATTGGGGTAAGCAGCCTAGCTAAACGAAGAGGGACAAATGCCTTGACAAGCATCCCATTCCCGGTATATTCCTGCAAAAGGGAAAGATACATAAGAAAACAACAGCAATAATATTTTTCTTTATAATGACTGCAAACTACATTAGTTTAACATTCAGTTAATACTTACAGTTTTCTCCACCATTCCAACCTGATGTATGGTACTAAGAAGAGCTTCCACTGGAACCATAGAATCCTATTAAAAAATAGCATTACACACTAGTAAAACAGAATTCAATTCATGAATACATAGAATCAACCACCATGTATTAAAATATTTTTGAAATACAGACAATTAATTATTACCTTCAGTTTTTCCTGCACAGCATTGCAGAGTTCCTGTAAGCCCTCGCCAGTCACAGCAGATATACAATACACACATCTTCTCTTCTCTCTGCTTCCAACTTGAGTGTTTGTGGATCACTAACCCTATCAACCCGCCATACGTGTGTAGTTCAGTAAGCAATCAAATCTCTTTTCCATGCATGGTTCATAAAACACAATGCAGAATATTGAACACATTTTATGATCACTATGAATAGTTGGTATCTAAAAGCAAAAACTTCGTGTAAAAGTAAATTATCAAATTTCAAATAAATAGCTAAAAGGGAATTATGAAAACAAATAGTATGAGCATGCTGAGGTAAGATAGACTGCATGGCACCATATGTGATTAAGCAACAAAAAGGTTTTATGCAGATGTATTGAGTATGCACGAAGTTCTAAAATCACAAGTATAATAAGATGCGAGGAAAAGGTAAAATTGTTTATTTTGCAAGTTTCAATTCTTAGTAACTCAGAGATGGAAAATGTATTCATTACCTTGTTCCAGACCATTAATTTTGGAATTTCAGACACATTTAGTTCTGCTAGAACTTTTTCCACAGCATCTATCTGCTGCTCCGCAAGGGGATGGCTGAAATTCACAGGGAACAGTGTTAGTTGATAATTTGAGAAGGAAAAAAAAACTAAAAATAGTTTATTGAAATATTATACCTGATGTCCAACTCATGCACTAGAAGAGAAGACCCAGATATCTCCTCCAATGTAGCTCTGAAAGCAGCAACCTGCATGAATGCAGAGCTGAAATGATTTTCGGGGCTCCACTCAATATAAACTTGGTATTAAGATTCAAGGGTAACATCTTTCAAATTGAAATAATTGCACATAAAGTAGTTTGAAATTTGAAGGCACACTCTTTGATACATGATTGAAGGAGCTCCTGATAACATAAACATGTCCAAAATTTGAGAAGCATTACCAGAGTAGTTGGCAACTTTTGGATGAAACCAACAGTGTCTGTAAGAAGAAATCCACTTCCATTTTTCATCTGGAAAAGTACACAAAGAAAAGAAGCAAGTATCCCTTGTTACCGATAGAGATCATAGATAACACAGCACAAACTCATTTCAATACCAGATACAAACAAGAAAATTTTGACCAGGAAGAATGTATTTGTACACAGATTTATAAAATTAACATTCATAGATCTAAATCACATGACTTCTTCAAGCTCTCAATTCTTTTCTACCAAAACGAAGTAGCTAGTAGAATTCTGCTCTAAGTTTGAGAATGAAAAAAGCAGTCATTGTGAATAGAAGTATCAAGAATGGCACAACATAGAAATTTTATGTTCATAGATAGAGAAAACTTATAGCTATTGCTGGAAAACTTTATTTCAGTTTAAATGACACAATTCCATTAAGAACAGGTTAGCTTGAAAGCAAGGTATAACGATAGGGTTGCAAGTTTATTTGACAGACCTGAACCCTTCTTGTTGCAGGATCAAGGGTTGCAAAGAGTCGGTCCTCAGAAAGAACATTAGCTCCAGTCAAATGATTTAAAAGTGTACTCTTTCCAGCATTTGTGTACCCAACCTATAATGATTTCAAATGGATAATATGTCCAGAAACATAAACTAACAAAATAAAAGTGTCCTTGTATTTAAGGAAAAAAAATGA